GTATGTAATAAAAAGATAATTCTGATATTTACTAACAAAAATGAAATGTATAGAATTCTCCATTTCAAAATAATACAAATTAACAAACTAAAACGGGTGAAATTAATTCCAGTAATAATAATAATAAATATATTATTTAATAAAGAATTTGTATGAATGTTAAAAGAACAGAGTATAATAATTCCATTGAAAATAATGATAAAAGATATAATAATTAAAAACATGAAAGACATAATGAAATAATGTGGAGATCATGGAGGTGAATATAGAGAAATAATTTATGAACAAGACTATGAGAGAGTGAATGATGTAATCTCACATAAACAATGTGAATTATAAAATAAGATATACTGATTCTTATTTTATTAATTTTTATTTAATATATAAATTAATTTTGATAGTTAAATAACAAATTAAATATGTTTATTATAAAATAATTATATTATTTAAATAATTTATTATATTTATTAAATGTTAATATTTTTATTAGTATTATTATTTATATAAATTAATTAGATATTTATATGAAAATTATGATTTAAATAAAAATATTTATAAAATAATATATTTATATTTAAATTATATAATTTATTTTATATTTATTTATTATTATTTATTAAATTATTTATTTTATTTATAAATATAATAAATAATAAATGAAAAAAATATTTAAATTTATTTTTATTTTATTTGTAAATACATTGTTATATTATTTAAATGAATTAAAATAGTAATTATTATTATTTTATTAAAATTTTAATAAATTTATAAAGATTTATTAATTTTATATTTATTATTATTATAATTTTATATTTATAAATAAAATTATTTATAATTTTCATTCTTTGAGATATTTATTTTAATTTATTTATTTATTTTATTTATTATTATAAAACTTATTATAATTTTTTTATTTATATTATTTATTTTCTATTATTTATTTTTCTTTATTTATTTATAATTTTTATTTATTTATTTTACTTTATCATAATTCTTTTTCTTTTTTTTTAATTTAAATTTATTAAAATAAGAAATATTTAATATTATTTTTTTTATAATTATTTTTTTATGGTACAATTTAATAATAGTGTGATAAATCATTTATGGTATATTATTATTTTTTAATTATTTATATTTTATATAATATTTTATTTTATATTATTTATTAATTATTTTATTGTTTAATATCTAAAACAATTATTTTCTTTTCTCATTTATTATTTTATAGTTTCAGATTTAAAAAATAAACTCTGATTTATTATAGTTTATTATATTATCAAATATATATTTATTTTTATTTCATATTCTTTAATTAATACTAAAAGAATAATTTATATTTTCATTTATATTAATAAATTATTAGAAAATAATTTTTGAATAATAAAAACATAAAAATATTTATATTTTTCATTGGAAATGAAATAAAAATATAATAAAAATAAAAATAATAATAATAAAAGAAAAAGAAGAAATAAAAATAAAACATAGAATAATAAAGTTAATAAGAAATAGATAATAAAAAAGATATAAAAATAGAATAAGATAATAAAAATAATAATTAAGAAATAGATAAAATTTAAATATATAAAGAAGAAAATATTTAAATAAAACTCACTGTCATACTTACAAATTTCTTAATAATTTGTGTTTTTCTACGCGTAGAAAAACACAAATTATTAAGAAATTTGTAAACTATGACAGTGTTCTAAAAATAGAACACAACAATGATCACAAAAAGGAGTGTGATGACGTGGTAACACATCATATGAAGTTTGTAGAAATAGAATTGAATGACGTGGTAACACATCAATGAGGTTAAATAAAACTCAATTGACGTAATCAATACGTGGATAAAACTCAAAGAATTATGGGTTGAATAACAACAAAATCTTAAAAAAGTCAGATGAAAATCTAAAAATCTCAAATAGAAAAGTCAGCTGACTAAACTGACCAAAATTATAGTAAATAATAGTAAAATATATAATAAAATATAATAAAAAATATAGTCATATATAATATATATATATATTTTAGACCTCAAAAGTCAGAATAGGAATAAAATTGACTCACTCAATGACTATATTGGGATGAATAACATAACAATTCCTTTGCTTGATTTAATGTTATCAGTTATCAGGAAATCGTTACATGCACTTCCCTTCGGTTGTTATTTCACTCTTATTTTCCTGACAACTGACAACGTTAATTTTTCACAAAGAAATTAAATTAAGAAGTTTTTGAAAGAAGCGTTGATAAGTCAAACATTTGAACGCCAAAAGAGAATAAGCTGTATGTCGAGGTTATATCTCCTATACTGCAACCTAATCTTATTTTCATGTTTTCTTGAGGAGGAGTGTTCATAAAATGAACGTTTGTTCTGTTTGTTGGTGGTATTATTATTAAAGTATCTCCTCCTCCTGCTACCGGTGGTTGAGAAACTACTGAAGTTGAAGTTTTTCTTGAAGTAATTGGTACTGTTGTCGTGTTGTTGTCAAGGCGGATTATTAATTGATCTGTTCCCGGAGCGTCTGTTGGTGGTGGAATTGATAGTGAACTTGTTGAATTATTATGTATTAACATGCAATATGTTCCTCCCGGTGTTATATAGGCGTTCGATTTTAGATTATCTGCTGTTGGAGTATCGTCTACGAAATATCTATGTTGAGCTATCTGAGAAAATAATATTGTTTCTGTTACTGGGTTGTCTCCGTATCTATCAGTGAAAGTGAAAGTGTCTATTTTTCTGATTGACGTATCTGTAGGGGGAAAATTTTCTAGTCTATATGTCGTTTTTTCACTTATAATATCAAAATACGTTTGTCCCGCATCGGTGATTTCTTTTGCTAAGGCTGTGACGTTATATATTTCTTCCATTAAAATGAAATTAAAAAGATTAAAGAGTTATTTAAATATTGTAGGATAAAAGAAGTATAAGTCTATAAAGTCTCTTGGTTCTGAGAATTCTTCTACATATGAAACAAATAACGCTCTGTCATTCTTTGATGAGTCCATACAACGTAATATAACTGTTGATGTGTCTTCTTCTAATACGTGAACCCATGTAAGTACTCCTTTTCGTATTGGAATTGATGTTGAACGTTGTAATTGAATGTATGCTTCATTGTCTGATCCTTTCCACATTATTAAGAATGGCCATGAAGAAGATAATGTGATTGATGCAGTGTCTGAATATCCTATAAATCTTCCCCATCTATTTGTCCAGTTGATATCACTTCTGCTGTTGGTCCATATACAATAATTGTTGATATTTCTCTTAAATTTTGTATATGTGAAGTGTTTAAGTAATAACAATTTAATTTATCTATGAAATATTGTAAAACATTTACATTTATTGTTACTTTAGAAATACCATCTGTTGAAGGATTTGGAGTGTAATTATATGTTCCATTATCTGAAATATTTGCTATTATTTCATTAAATATTGGTTGTGGTACATCTATATTAATTGTTGCTTTAGATATTCCATCATAATTTGTATCTGGTAGCAGTGTTTGTGTTCCTCTTGTTGTGTAAGTAATTGTTTTTTCTTGTAATGATTGTTGTGGTACAATAATGTTAATTTTAGCTTGTGATATTCCTTCATAACCATCATCTGGTACTAAATCTTTAATACCATTTGATGTATAAGTAATTGTTTTTTGTTGTAAATTAGATGAAGAAGGAAAATTATATAAAGTGTATTTATTTTTTTCTGAAATAATATTAAAAGTATTAGAATTTGTTGTTTCTAATTGGTTTTTAATATCTGTTATGTCATATAGTTCTTGCATCTTAACTTATTATTCATTTAGATGAGATCTGCTGCTAATTCCACGAGTGGACGTGATGCTATGAAACCAAGAAAAAATGTTGATGTTGTTAAAAGAAGTTCACAACAAGAGTTAACTGCTACTATTCCAGTGAGTGATTCATGGGAAGGTAAAATTGATATTACTGGTGTTACTGGAATGGGTAATGATGTTCATACTATTGGTTCATTAGGATTATTAAGTAAAAGTCTTGTATTTAGAGAATTATGTGATTGTTTTGATCAATTTAAAATTATGGATGTACATATTTGTGGTGATGTTACTAAAGGTGTAAGTGCTAATGTTTCATTTAATACTGTTTGGAATACAAATTATGCTTATAGAGTAAGTACTGATGATGGTGTTAATTATACTCCATATAATTATAATGATTTTATTAAATTGATTACTACTGGTGAGTTGACTGAAGCTGATCAATCAAATAACTTACTTACTTATTTAAATACAAATTATTCATATGGTAAAGCTATTAATAAACCTTCTGATGAACAAGGAAGTATTGTTACACAAGAAATAACATTTCCTTGTATTTATGGAATGGCTGCTAGACGTACAATTCCTAATGGATTTTATCAAAATGTAATTGGAAGTAATACTTATTATAGTGAACCATCTTATGATGAGTTTTCTTCTTATTCTTCTTATATTTATCAATCTAAAATGCCCGGTGCACCAATGCATTTATCATTAGATATTCAAGGTGTTAGTAGTAGTGAGAAAATGATGACGATTCCAACAATTATGAGTGGTAAATTATATGAATTTAAACCAGAATTACAAAATGGTAGATTTATTCCTTGTATATTATATGGTGCAAAAGCTCAATTACCTGGTATGACTGGTGATGAAAATAATCGTATGTTGAGTGTTGTTCAATATTTTGATGAAAATCAATCTGAATGGAATACTGCTTCGAGTGTTAAACAAACTAATGTTGTTGTTCTTGAGAAAGGTGCTGAACCAACTGAACAGGTTCCTAATGATTTATATGCTATATTAAAAGAAGGTGTTAAAATTGAAATAACTGAAATTAGAGGTACTAGACTTGATTTTATTGATAATAATCAATGGACTGCTTATTTGAATCAGGTTAGTACTAATGCTAGTTTAACAATTAATGATAGTTATATTCTTAAAGTTATGGGATATATTACAGTAAGATTTAAGCAATTGAGAACAACTAAGAATGAAATTGCTGAATCGTTTTCTTTCTTACATTGGTATATTTCTGATGGTTCAAATGTATTAAATGAAATGATTCCTCTTACTGGAGAAGGACATTATGAAAATGAATATATGTATTTTGATATTTATATTAGAAAACCTAATGAGAAATGGTCTGATGTTATTGCCGATGCTTCTTACAATAGTAATAATTATGTTTACACTCTTGTTATGGGAAGTGTTAGTAATGCTCTTAGAATTTATTCTTATTGTGTTGCTAGTGATTCTTCCAGATTTAATATGACCAGTTTCTTCGATGATGTTATTGGCAGTAATTATGAAAATAACTATTCTATTGCTGTTGGAGTTAAATATAAGACTGGTGTTATTAGTAATTCTGGTAAATTCACTGTTAATGCTGGTGGACTTAATATTGGAAGATCTACTTCTGATGATTATATTGCTGCTGTTTTTACGAATAATAATACATCTATTACTTCTACTTATGTTAGTAAAGTTGATTCGTTATCTGGTAAGACTGTGCCTTTGTTATATGTGAACTAATTGATCTATTATTTTCATTTGGTTATGGCAAGAAGAATGAGAGGTAGACGTACTATGAGAAGAAGAGGAAGAAGAGGTACTTTAAGAAGACAAGCATTTGGTAATTTTGCAAGTGCAATGCAACAAAGAGATTCTACTAATGTAGTAATCTCTGTACAAGAAGATGTTAATATTAATGTACCTATTGGTTCAAGTGAAGCTACATTAATTAGAAATGTAAATGCTATTCTTACTTCTACTCAATATTTTGAAAATTATATGGGAATGTATGATCAATATAAAGTTAATGCTGTTAGAGCATCACTTGAAATGACATTTATTGGTAATGGTTTATTGAATAGTGCTACTTTCCCTTCTATTTGTACTGCATGGGATAGAAATGGTGTTAAAATTAAAGTAGTTGAAGTTAATGGTACTAAATATTTTGGAGTACCTGATTATGGTGTTGTATCAAGTTATTCATCTGCAAATGAAAAGACATTGTATTATGGAAGTAGATGGGGTGTTATTAGACAATTAGATGCTGCTTCAATGATGGAAAAATCAATGTATTTACCAACAACAAATACAAAACAAGTATTATCACAAGATAATATGTATAGTGCATGGAATCCTCAATTACTTATTTCACTTAAAGCTCCACAAGCTGTTGTTGCTATGAATGCTTGTACTTTAACTATTCATTGGCAATTTGATGTTACATTAAGAGGTTTAAGAAAAGTTCTTACACCAAATACTGAAATATTTAAACCATATTCTGGATTTATTGGTTATGCTAAAAATAATATGGGATTAGTTGTTCCTTCTGCTACTGATGCTTCTACTTATATTGTAGTTGGAAATGCTGATAATAGTAGTAAACCTTCTATTAATCCTGATACTGTGTATAATGCAACAGATTCTAGTTATACTAATGGAGGAATCGTATTACCTAATAATGGTATGCCTGAGTCAAATCCTAATCTTTAATCTACTTATTTTTAATGAATCGTTATTTTGATGTTATACAACCTCATTGGAATCGTTTTAAACGTAAAAAATTAAGACGTGGTTATAAAAGAAGAATTTATGATGATGAAGATGAAGAATACCATACTAATTGGTCTGGATATCGTACACAATTTAGATATCATAGACAACCTATTGATAATGAGGTTCAATTTTATCGTTATGGTGTACGTCCTTATGTACCTTATGATAGATATTATAAAAATGAAGAAGAAGAAAAGGAAAAAGATAAAGTTAAGCCCAAACAACCATTAAGTGAATATGAACGTAATAAACTTAAACAAGAAATGAGGGATGAAATGAAACAACAAATTAGAGATAATAATAGACAACAACAAGGTGTTAATAAATCATTACAACAACAAATTAATGATGCTAATCGTATTGCTAATGAAGCTAAATTAAAAGCTCAAATTGCTGATAGTGATTTAGATGAATATGCTGAACGTACTGAAAAACGATTCAATGATTATAGACAGAAGTTTATTACATATGATACGTATCAAGAAACTCTTCAAGATCAAATAAATTATAATACAAATGAAATACATGATATTAAAGAAGCTGTTAAAAAAGGTAGTTTAGATCAACAAGAAGCTAATAGGAGAATTAAGAAGATTAAGAATAAACAAAAACAATTAGAACAGCAACAAATTGAACTTAATCGTAATCAAAATATGTTTATTACTAGAGAAGAAATGCGTGCTTATCAAAATTATTTGAATTCAAGATTTGATCAAACTGATAATCGTTTACAAGAATTAAGTTATTATGTAAATAATGTTAAAAACATGGATGAACGTATTGATGGTATTGAAAATATTTTAAATGCTCATCAAGTTACAATGGGACAGTTAATGAATATTATTTCTAGGAATAAACGAGAAACTGATGCTACTCTTGCTACTTTAAGTAATGAAAATAAATTATTATATAGAGGTCAAAATGATCTTGCTAGAGCTATTATGCAATATGAAGGTGAAAATCAAGTTCTTAGAAAGACTGTATTTGATCTTACAAGTTATTTAACCAATTTAAAGGTTGTTAGTCCGGATCAGTATAATCATGAACAGGATCAGATTTTAAATTATATTCAACATTTAAACAATCGTATGGAATATAATCAACGATCTCTTGTTAACGCTAAAGATAAACAACAACATTTTGAAAAAGATTTTGAATATATGAAGCAGAATGCATTGGTTATTGAACAAAAGGTTAATAATGAAGTATTTAGACAACAAACTAATGATGTGTATTTTGAAAGATGGAAACCTATTATAAGTATTTGTAATAAAGTTGGTGGAAATTTAAAAATTGATAAAGATGAATTATATAAATACGTTTATAGTATTTCTGATCCTGCTGAACGTACTAAGGTAATAAGAACACTTGATGCACAATTTGCTGCAGTTGCTAGGGGGTTTAGATTATATAATCAAAATCCTAATGCTGATATATCTAATATGGTTAATAATATTAATAATATACAGACTGCTTATGGAGAAGGTAATAGAGGTTATAATGCTGCTCAAAATTTTAAAGAAGGTAAACAAAAAGTTGTAGTTGTTATTCCTGTTGCTACACGTGCTGATAAAGTTCATGTATCTCAACCCGAAATTGTTGAAGATAGAGAATTTGCAAAGGCTTTTATTGGTAAGAATCGTATTGCTTCTCAAGCTTTTACTGGATTTAAACAACAACGTTTTCTTGAGTATAATGCTGAACGTGGTTTATTTGATGAAGTGAATAAGGTATTTGCTCAAGTTGAAAAGAAAGTTGGTGCTCATGAAGGTAGAGTACACAAAAATAATAAATATACACAACGATATTTTGAAACTGTTGATTATGTTATAAAACAGTATACTGATCCTTCTGCTAATTCTAATGATCGAAGACAAGCATATGAACTTCTTAAAAAGGATGCTATTAATTTTATGAATGCATATGATTCTGCCACTGAACATGATAATGTTTCTAAACAACAACAATTGTTAATTGAAAATGGTGTTCAATCTGGTTCTTTGAGTCTGGCTTTACATAATCCTAAAGTACAAGAGAATTTACAAGAGTATTATACTCGTACTCAGAAAGATTATTATAATCAAGTTAATCGAGATGAACAAGCTAAACAAAATGGTCAAGTTACAAAAGTTGATAATACTGTTAAAAGTAACGATGATTATGTTAAAGACCTTATTAAACCTAAGAAGAATAAACCTGGTTATAAACCAAGTGCTGTTGTAATGGAAGTTGATCCTGATTTATTAAATGATTTGAATATTGTTACTCCTGGTAATAAACAATTCGGTGTTACAGTTGGTGAAGAAACTCAAGTTCCTACTCAATATTTAACTAATGTTAATCCTTTGTTACTTAAAGATAATTCTGATAAACTTAAACTTAAAGATAAACAGACTCAACAGACTATTGGATTTGAATATAAACAACCTCAAATTGGTTATAAACAAAAACAAAAACAAATTGATTATGAATATGAACCTCAAAAATTAATTGAATATCCTTATAAACAACCTCAAATAGAATACAAAGAAAAGAAACCTAAAATACAAACAGTTGATGGCGCTTCATTCGATCCATCTACTACTCAACCACAACAGTCTAATTCTACTGATGATCCAAAATATAAAAGGAGACCAGAAGTAAGAAGATATATAATTAATTAATTCAATTATTTTTAATCATAGATGATATCCATATCATTATCTTTTCCTCCGAATGGTCTATGTTCCATTGGATTGTTCATTTCTTCATCTTCATAATCTTCATCGTCATCATAATCATCAGATGAAGAGTCCATATGTCTTTCAAAATAATTATTTCTCTGCTTTTCATAAGATGACATGGTTTCTTTTTCAAAGTCCTTGAAGTCTTCTCTTGACATACCCAATGGATTTTCTGACTGGTATTCTTCTAAATCGTTATTCCATTCTTCCTGAATACTCTCGTTATCTTGCTGAGACTCTCTCAGCATTTTCTTTAATTTCGGATTGTTTCTTCTCTTTTCCTTTATTTTATCGTTTAACTCTGTTAAGAATTCTTCGTCATAACCCAGGTCTGCCATTAGTGTTGTCATTCTACTATAGAACGATATATGTTCTGGTGGATATTCTTCTTGTATTGTAGTATCTTCATCTTGGTCATTTAATGCATTAAATTTCTCTTCGAGGTCCTTTTGTGGGTCATAATTAGTCTCTTGCTCTTGCATATCTTCTGATGGATTATCAGATTCTTGTGGATCTTTATAAATCTTTTTATCTAAGAAGACTGTTAAAGAGTTTCTTCTCCACCATGAGTATCCTCCATTTTCTCTCATTAAATTGACTACATTCTCGTACTCTTTCTGATTAAGCAGATGGATACACGGTCTTGCAGTTACAATCGCTTTTGAATACTTTATATTTACCACAGTCTTCTTATTTATCGTTGAGGTAATGGCTTTAATTAAACGTACTGTGTTTTTATCATAATTAATATCATCCAATAATATAAATCTATAATGCTGTTCATCGTCATAAGTATCGAACAGGGAATCTCCGCGCAACATGAAAGTATTATATTTCATGAATATTTCCTGTACTGCAAATTCTGTCTTCCCTGTCTTTGTTGGGCCAACAATAAATAAATTGCCCATACGATACTTGTCTCCTGATGCGCACTTAACCCATTTTCTGATAGTCTTAATTTCTTCCATCTCTTCTCTCCATGGAAGTAGGTTGGTCTTTGTGTATTGTTCCATATCGATTCTTCTGGCGTTCTTTCTCATCCAACGTGCTTTAATGCGTCCTTCTTGTTGGATGTACTTTTCTGCATTGATTTCCATCAGATTTTGTTCGAGCTCTTTATAATCTCTGTAGGAGTCCATGTCGTTTAACGCGTTTATCCACGTTTGCTTCAATTCCTCTTTCTTATTTGGATCTCCTTGGTGCATTCCTTCTCCTTTCTTAGTTATGTATTTAATCAGCGCGGAGATGTCCCCTGTTCTGGAAGTGTATGAGTTAACTCTGGAATACCAGAATGTTTGTCTGGTTCCATCTGAATGGGTTATGATTGGTCTAGCTTTGAAAGACTTTGGGCGTTTTAATACAATCAACATGTGTTGATGTGGACGAGGATTCACATCGTCGTGTTCTACTGGTGATACATGTGCGTATTGCACATTGCTCGTGGCTCCAGCTAATCTATCCACAACCTCTTTAAATTGTATATTGTTCTTTATTTCGTCGCCCCAAAGAGTAAGATATAAGTATCTTGATGTAAAATGTAATGGTTTATTGGCTTTTAATGATTCGTGTAGATGTATGAAGTCCAATTTTGTTGGTTCGGCGGAGAATTGGTTTGTTGACATTGGATGTTTAAAAGAAAAAAAAAACAGACCTATTTATATTGAGTTATGAGGTTTTTGATGACATGGAGTTGCGTTGTTCATTACGTCATTGAGTAGAACTGATATATTTAAACTTAAAATTTTATAACATAATTATCGATTTACTAATGTCTTCTTTTACTGGATCCAAAGATGATATTCATTATAACGTTCTTAGTAAGGACTTGGCTGATGTATACATGGAATCACAACGCGAGCCTGACGTAAATACTTTTGTTAAGAAGTTATTTCATACCATGAAAGAACCATCTTTCTTGGATTGGAAGTTGAACGTGTCTGGAAAGGTTAGTGATGATGCTGAGAGAGGTACTATTATAAGATCTAAATTAGAGAGTATATTAAGAAGCGAGCGTTTATCTCAGTATTTGGACGAGAATGGTATTAGTCTAAATTCTTACAATGCTTGGGTTAAACGTAAATATGGAAAAACTGCTAAAAAAGATATGAGAATGGTTGATTTACCTGAATGGGTTAGACGCTATTCTAAGAAAAATATGGATGATTTGGATGAAGATGATAAAGAGCGTAGTGCATTACTTGGAGATAGTAAAAAAGGTGATGAGGAAAAGAAGCCCAAAAAACCCGAAAATGATAATTAATTATTTTAATTGGTTGTTTATTTTTTATTTTATTGTTTTGAATTGTTTTAATAATTGTATTGATTGAGAACGCTTTTATCTAGATTTATTAAATGGCTGATTCTGTTGTTAGATGCGTTTCTGCTTTGTCTGTTAGTTGGTGTAAAACAAATTCCTTTACTCGTCATATATTTTTGAGTGGGGGACTTGCAGTTGGTAAGACAACTATCCTTAATTATTTACGAAGTGTGTGTATTGATATGGAAGATGTGTTTTTTGTTCAAGAGTATATAGATTTTGATATTGATGGTGAATCGCGTTTAGAATGTTTACATCGTGGTGTGATAAAGAATTATCAATTCCAGAAATATGTATTAGGATGTTATAGAAAACAGTTTATGAAACAGGAGTTCAGGCGAGCAACAATTGTTATATGGGAAAGACATTTAAGTGAAGCTCTTAGTATATTTTGTGATGGTGATGAATCTCTCACCATTGAAGAACGTGAAGATATTAAAAATGATATAGATGATTTATGTGAAATGTATGATATTCCTAGCTTAGATAATATTAATGTTAAATTTGTCAAGGTTGATACGGCAGCAATCGAAATTAAACAAGTCATACAACTTTTATTAAATGGTGTTATTTATCCGATGTTAATGAAAAATTATAGACATGATTTATTTGTTTTATTGTATTGTGGAGATTTAAAAGAACAGTTTCGCAGAGTATTACAAAGAGGAAGAAATGTCGAACTAGATATGTATAAAACGAGTGAGGATTTGCTTAAAATCAATGATACTTATTTTGAATTTTATTTAAAACATGATAAATTAATTAATTGATTAACTTGTTATTTCATTTATTTATATTATTATGAGTGATACAACTGAACGTATTTCTATGGATTCTTTATTAAAACAGCCAAAGATATTAAATAGGATATGTTATTCGATTGCTGCTTCTATTATTTTGTTAATACTGATGATTCTTATTATTGTCAGTGAGTTGATTATTAAATTTTTAACATGAAATTGTCGAATCAAATTAAATCAATTATTCTTTTCTGGTTTTGTTTCTATTTTGCATTTTGATGCACACTTTTTCATCACGTTTATTGTTTTCTTATGTGTTGATATGAAATTTATAGCTGTTAAAGCAATATCTTCTACCAAGTACGCTTCTCTTTCTAACAACCTTAGATATTTTTCGTCTCCGAGTGTTGACGTTTGTTCTTTTTTGTATAAATCTACTAGGCTTTCACACAGTTCTTCTATGCCGTCCATATCTATAAAGTAGCTTGCTAGAGTATCAACTTTCAGATCTTCTATTTGGATGGCTTCAATTCTATCGTCTATTGGGATGCTCATTTTAATTTTCGAGTTTGTTTGTTGTGTTTATAAATTCCTTGACACGTATTCAAACGTTGAAAATATGCATTTTACGTGGTATATAATAATTGTTTATTATAATAAAGTTTAGTATAAATATTATTTTATGACTTAAAGAGGAATTCCAGCAGACACTTTTGTTCCGAACAGACAGTTTTTATTGTTAATTGGAAGGAATATTGCTGTCTCTGGCTGCGTATGTGTGTACGTGTATATATCTGTTGCCAACTAATCACTTAAATTTAAAACGGGAGAACTGAATAATATTATCAATGAGTAAATCCGTTTGCTTGGACCGTTTAAAGACTCTGATTATTGAAGCTGCTATTGACATTAATGAACGTCTGAATACAAATATTACTACCGATGGAAGAAGCTTGCTTTATTCGATTTCATTCTGGATTCATCAACTTATATTTGTAAAGGAATATAAATATGATACGTGTTTGGATGAATACATTCGTTATCTTCTCAATGATATTAAGAATTTTCTTGTTAATTATGATAATCTTGAACGTATCATAGGTGAAATTTCATTTTTCTATCATGATCTTAGCAATTTCCTCGATGATTCTAATTAATTCTTTCTTTATTATTTTTAATGTTATTTTGTTTTGTTGATATTTATTTAAATCATAATTTATTGTTTTTATTGTACTTATTATTATTTTATTAATATTTTTTGTTGTTATTTGATATAAACTTCATTTTATTCCTCATTGCTCTTGCAATACTTCACCTTTCTCTCGTTCTTTATTTGTTTTTTGTATGTTTCTTTGCTTCTTTATGTTTCTATGTTACATTTTCTTCTTATTTCTGCACCTTTCTTTCACCCTAATTCCTCACCATTTGAAATTTTTGAACGTTAATTTCAACCCTGCCACATATACAATACTATATATACTAGGGTCAGCGATCTAATAATTCAGTTGCGCTGACTTTTATGTTATATACCACTACGATATTTATTAAACGTTTTATGTTATTTTTTGTTATTTATTATTTTAACTTCATATTTACCATTTAGTGTTTCTTTATTTTTCCCATAATTCTTCTTGTTATTCATCCCATAACAGTCAGTGGGTGTGCCAATATTATGTCTATTATGACTTTTTGAGGTCCAAAATATATATATATATTATATATGACTATATATTTTTATTATATTTTATTATATATTTTACTATTATTTACTATAATTTT